AATATCAACCGCTATTTCAGATGAGCACTCAGCACTACGCTTGATACAACAGTGCGAGCAGACAGTGTGAATTTAATACTCCGTATGACCAACGTGAATGCGCGCAAACCATACCACAATGTGGGCATGGTTCGAAGTGAGACGACGGTTCGTTGATGGACGGAAGTCACGGATGAGAAATTCGGAAGGCGTTGCAGACACCAGTGTAATACCACTCATACCTCGTTTGTCAAAACAAGTAGTGATGCTTGGTAAGCCTGCATGACGACTACAACCACTCTACAATGGCAGCAGTTGGCCTCTCTGATTCCCATCTGTGTTCACGGATGAATGGCCATCACAGCTCGCAGTGGCTCTCAGTGACACTCACAATATGACGCACGGACATTCCTCGGTTACGCTCGGCCAAGCACGGTTCATAGTTGCACATCAGGGTCACCTCCTGACATTGAACTCGCAAGTACCGAACGAAATGAATGCTGCACAACACGTAAGGACGTCCCGTGCATATTCGTTTGGCACACACGTTTTGTCGGCAAGCCGATCACAAAAGCTGCAATTCACAGTAAAATTAAGTAGCATACACACTCTGTGATACCTAAAAGCGATGACTTAAATTAAAACCCGAGTTTGGTTGTATTAACAACTGTACAAACTAATTTAGAACCAAACTTTGTTTTTATTTTACCACATACGGCCTACTGAGCTATGTCGCCTTTTCAGAAGTGACCTGGCCACAAATGATATCTCAACGCAGCGAAATACTCCAAACGCTTGTTTCTGAACATGGAGGGAAAACCCGGAGAACCCGGAGAAAAATTCACGAGATCCAGTAGAATCACGCAAACTCAAAATATACAGCAGGTATTGCTAGGGTTAGGATCGGACCACAAAACCTCCTGCATACCAGAGGGAGATATAACATCTATCCACCACGGCAGAGCCCACTATCCCGAGCTCAATTGTTTCTTCACAGCCTAAGGATGTTAACGCTCGCCGATTGTGAGCCCTGCTGTTATTATCGCAAATTAAATACTTGCCGAGGGAAATTGAACACCGGAGTGTTTGCTTGATCCATGCGTGTACACGATTTGGTCTTGTTGTGTTCCCAGGTGGCGTACAGCATAGACAATACCATTTGGGATAGTTACATTGATAGCACGGATGATAACTATATACTACAAGGGGACACTAATGCTGAAAGTATCAACTTTTTAACATTCTTGCCAAATACACATCTTTCATCCATAATCTATCAAATATCCTGAGTTGTTTTGTTAAATGTTGGTTAATGAGAAGACTGAATGTTGAAAGATTGAAGCGTGATTATTTAACTGTCACAAATTGTGACCATTCAAAGCCCCAACATCCACCCAGGTTAATCCTGCTGGTGTATTAATCATGAACACACACACCATAGGCTTAAAAGGCAAGACGTGAAAATATCCCCATAATGTCACTCACACAGAGTGGGTGTTGCCAAATAAATGCATTGGGCGGGAGCGGGGAGACAGGAGCTGGGAGAGGTGGCGAAGCAGACACCCAAACGTCAGAGGCCAAGCTCGGGTGACTAGACCAGTGATGGGCAACCCAGACGAGTTGGTAGGCCCAGTGGCGTAGTAACTACATTATTAGTGGCGTAGTAGCTACATTTTCAGTGGCATAATGACTACATGATTAGTGGCATAGTAGCTGCATTAATAGTGGCATAGTGACTACATTAGTGGCGTAGTAGCTGCCTTATCAGTGGCGTAGTAACCACATTATCAGTGGCATGGTGACTACATTATCAGTGGCGTAGTAGCCACATTATCAATGGCGTAGTAAATGCATTATCAGTGGCATGGTGACTACATTATTAGTGACGTAGTAGCCATATTATCAGTGGCGTAGGAGCTCCATCATCAGTGGTATAGTCACTACATTAGAGGCGTAGCAGCTACATTATCAGTAGCGTAGGAGCTACATCATCAGTGGCATAGTGACCACATTAGTGGTGTAGTAGCTGCATTATCAGTGGCATAGTAACTACATTATCAGTGCCGTTGTAGCTACATTACACTATGTAACACGATTTTTGTTCCTGGGTAGTGTTGTTTTCTAATTGCGTATGCCTAAAAAGTATAGAAAATGGTTATTATTCCCCACAAACTTTGCTTTTGCTACAACGCTGTGGACTCTCATGAAATTGTCTTTTCCGAGACCAAGGTGCTCTGCAAACCTTCTGGCTACCATCAAAGGTTTGTACACGAAGCCATTCAGATATACAAACACAGACATAATTTCAACCGTGATGATGGGTACAAACTTAGTAATCATTGGAAAGATGTTATCAACCATGCAAAAAAAAGACTTAATTACACATTTTTGGACCATCTTATCTGACAGGCACTATTTTACTTTACTTTACCGAGTGTTAACATCCCCAGTGTTTAACAGTAATCTCTTTATTGTTCAGCCAGCACTGGTATAAACATGGGCATTTTCGTTCTTTTCTATCATGTGTATCAACAGGTGCTTGTGCATACACATGTCCACGTACACTTGCACCCCACACTCTCTTTTGGCCTCCCCCCCCCCCTCTCCGTCCAATACGTTGGCGTGTGCAACAATAGTTGCTTGCGCACAACCACGTCCACGTCGCCGACTCTCGTGTACCACTTCGTGCATTCTTTTGACCCCTCCCCCTCCCGATACGTTCTACGTAGCACTTCGTGCCTTCTTTTAGCCCCGCCCCCCTCCCTCCCGATACATTCCATTCATTGGCTACCACATTCTGATGAGCTCCCCCCCCTCTCCTCCCCCCTCAACTTGCATTTAAGGGATTACATCTTGAATCCTTGCCTCACTTGATGCAGCAAATCTGGCTGTGACGGTCCCACCTGATGACGGAGACTTGTGTTGCCTCCGAAACGTCGTGATTTTTATTGTTTTATTTTTATTAATTTCATTTTTTACCTACGTGACTTTACTGAAAGAACTAAGAGTATGAATCCTTGCAGTCACGAAAGCTTCAAATCTAGAATTAAGAGGTAGGGGGTTGTTTTGCAGTCACCTGCACACCCACAATGCACCACCAACAATATGAAGACCAAGACGACACAGACTGCGTACCATTTTAATTTCTTACCTCGGTTTTGGCTGGGCATAGACAAATATTCTTGGGTGACTCGCCCTGGTGTGCACAGCGTGGTGGCACTGGAAACCAGAAGGTGAGCATTCTCGAGGAACTCTTCGCCTTCTTATTCGTCCACACATAGCCACTTTCCAGCGTGCCCTCCTCCAGACTGTGCCGTTCATGCCCTGTGCCTCCCCCTTCCTAGTTAACGTGCACCCTTGGTCCGAGCACCCTGAATCGCTACCGATAGGGGAGGGGGCGTACGAGATTTGCTAGTGACAATCACGGGACCTCGACTCTCCCCTTCCACCCTTTCCCCGCCTCCCTCAACCGCCTTCTAACTTTCAATCAACTTTTGAATTGCTACCAGGTGAGAAGCGGTCATTTCCATGGGCTTGGGTGCAGCCATTTGCATTCTTCTGCTGGGGAACGCCACTTATTCGATCAACATTCAATTTCGGACATTAGGAAAACACATTCAGGCCTCCAACTTGGAGTAACTTGGCCTAAAAACCTTTGTCCGAGGTGTGGGGGATGGCGTTCCTAACATTAACAGAGAGTGAGAGAGGCCTTCAGAATGTCGAGTGAATCCCCTCTGCTATTGAAGAAAATGCGGACGATCTTGTTGATTGTCATATTCTTGAACCAATCATATTTCGAGTTTGCCATGTTGGGCGTATTCTTCGACACGCCGGAGCCATCGCACTGGCCTAGACGCCTACGGTAGCATTTTTCATGTGGTGTGATCAGAGGGCCAGTTAGCTAACTGAAGTAAAACTAGCTAGCATGTAAGGTAGCATCATCTAAGATTTATTATTAAAAATCTAAAAGTCATTTAAACGTTTAGATTTTTAGATGTGATTTCGATGTTTTTTTGTGGGGAAGCCTGTTGAATCCTGATTGTGTCATTTGTGTTTTACAGAAATGTTGCTTGCTTGGTGGTCGTATGAGTAAATGTGACTGGTTGTTGTATGTCCTTGTTTCTTTGGTAATGACATTGATTTTGGGCTATGCGATGTCTATTTGTGATGCAGCATCCTGTCATACTGCATAAGTGGTACATCTTTGATGGTTTCAGTCACCATGTATTTATGTCTCTGCAATTAGTGTATTGTAACTCTCATAGATGTTGAGCCTCGTGTTAAATCACTTTATTCCACTCGATAAATGTTACTGTCACTGCGAATATGGGGTGGTTACGTCGAATGACGATCGCCTATAGCCCTAGTGTCATGGAGAGGTTGTTCGAAGGTGGTTTAATTGCAGGAGGATAGCACTGAAGGCCTAGGTGTAAAATACACGGCCCGCTACTGCTCAAGTGGCTGAAATGAAGTGCAGCACTCGAGTGTGGCTAAGGCCTTGTAGTCTTATTATCAGTCAAAATTGAGCAGTAGCGCTCTAGAAATGTTCACTCACAGCTGGCAAGTTCAAGAGTTTTTTCCCAGGTAGGTCTCCAAGGTGCTCCTGGCCGCTCTGGGACTCTCATTCACTGCGCTCCCCATTATGGCCTGGGAACAACTCATCCCCATTTCGGTGAAGCTCCGTCCTCTCTCCCCCTCCTGCCTTCTCTCACCGTTTCAAACATAAAGCATATGTTATTATCAGAGCATGTCTGTATGTTTTGCCACAAGTATGTGTGGTTAATGCACGACTTGATGCCTTGCAACAGGTGTCTATTTGGTGTTTGAACATTTTAACACCTGTTAAAATGCCAGAAAGGGTAAAGCCTATTATAGTCTTCATCATATACCTCAACCCACCACGTTTATATTGTACCGTGTGTATATGTGCACGTGTGTGATGTATTGGTGTGTTTTGTATGAGCAAGTGCTTTTTTCACTAAATGGACTATATTAAAAAAAACACAAGTTTCTTACAATAGTTTTGCGGTAGGTTATACACTTTATTTGAAGTTGGTTCAAGAATAACGAGCACTGTTTATTCCATGGAGGTAGTCGTAAAATAATAACAGATGACTGCTTTGAAACATTCGAGCAATGAGTTGCACCATGTGGAAACTCGCGCGTCAAATGACATCGCCTGATGAGAAAACCCGTCTGCTTACAAAAAAATCCTTTGCCCAATGTGGGGGGGGGGGGGGGGGGGGGATTACAGTCTTGAATAGAACGGCAATCTGCAAGCTCGTATATGGGACTATTGGAGTTTGGTTCAAAGTTCTGTTTATCTTTCCTATACTTTCCACTCCTATCGTGTTTTTGCATTGCTTGTTATAACGTTCTTACCCGCCCCCTATTGGACGTCTGTGAAAAAGAGCCTTATACCTTATCGGTTTCCTCCTGTCGTATAGAGTTTCCGATTATGTAATACGACAATCACTCCTTTCCTCTCATGTTACCCTACATCAACCCAAGCATTAAACAGGAAGTATTGCAAATGTAAAATGTTATTAACATTGTCGAGTGTTTAAATATTATTTTCACGATAATTTTTTCATTTAAAAAAATGTGTAGAGGAGAGGGTTTCCTGTATTTCTAAGATTACATCAAACTACGTCTCATGTACTGTTTATAACGGACTCGTAGAGTGAATTTTCTGATTAACAACAATTTGATAGCAGCTAAAACTCACAAAAAGGAAATTGATGCGGATGTCAATTAAGTTTGAGGACATGAAAGCAGATGCTCCTGATTATAGCCAAATACCCGTCATAAAGAAGTATAGAATTCAGACATTAAGTCACAATTTTAATGGAAAAATTCATGCATATAAAATTAAGGTGTTTCATTTACTTCCCTTTACTATAACATTTTATAGAACTAAACCTACAGGTTAAATTTAAACCAACTGTATTATATAGATACATATTAATTTTATGGTAAATACAAGTAAATACATGGTGATCCTTAAACAAAACTATTTTATTTGACCAGACAAGGCCTACTGAGCGAAATAGTTATTTTTAAGAAGCGATCTGGTTATCACAAATGATTGCTCAACGTAATGGCTTATCATGTGGACATTTATAGCAGGCAAATACTCTAAATGTGTGATGTAGATTCTAAATGTGGAGGGCAAAATCGGAGGACTCGGAGAAAAATCCACGTGACCACGGAGAAAACACGCAAGCTGCAAATATACAACACACGTTAGGGTCGGGATCGAGCCCACGACCTCCTGTATACCAGGCAAGGTAGTTAATATCTCCCCACCGTGGCGCGCCATTGATGTTATAAGAGTACCATTACACATCCAATGGGTAAAATGTATACATTTTAACGCGAAATTTGCAGAGGATTTGGCTTCATCATTTCTCGTGATTGTGAAAAATGATCGATTACTTGCAAGTTTGATAATTATTACTGATCCTCACAACCTGCGTGTCCATTACTCAGTCGTCACCACGTAGCCACAAATGAGTCTGACATGAAACCGATCATCTTAACAAAGAATAACAACAGATTAACATGCTCTATAGATTAACTCCTGTATAGACTATGTAGGTAAGTAATATATATATTTATATCGCCCAATGTGTTATATTTATAATACATTATAACACATTAACCCAGAATCAAGACCCGACGGAGACGATCCATGGCTTTAATCTTCCACGAAAATTATGGGCACAACCCCCAAATCGAATCCATACGAACCATGGCAGATGCGGTTACTTAAAGCACATTTTAAAATGAAAACTCTCCTGTAGAGTGTGCCTGTGGTCACCCAGAGTAGACCACAGAAGGTATGACTCTTCAATGCCCAATTCACAAATACGAAGGGGGGAGGCATCATCAGACCAGTACAATCCACTACATCTGACACAATCTGGCTAAACCACTTCCACGTAAAATTATAGTTGTTACTCTATACCTACATCAACCATTCGAAGAAATCACGTATAGATTTCCACTGAGACCATTACACTTGCATCGGTACCCTTAGACTAGTACAGATACCCCATACACTCACAGATCTACAGGCACAGCTGCAAAAAGGCAGAACATTTTTTGCAAGAGAAATATTTGTTCTCGAATACGTGCAATGTCTGCCTGCTGGTGGCATAACAAACTCACACCTGATACATGTGTGCCTGGTACGAATGAATTAACCTTGAGTACGAGGTTAAATTGACCTTGACATGAACCCAGCACAGGAAAGGTCTGGTTCATGCTTTTAAACTCAATAGAGGATCTGTTTTATATATCGAACAGGAGGAGGTGGAGAGTGACTTGAATGGCTATTTCACAATGACGTATGCATTGTCGGGGGCGAGATAGGTGGGATCAGAACTGTCCACGGTCTTGGCATCATCTCCTGTCTTCGACGGTGCACCTGAGTGGTGGTCCTCTTGGGGTTTACTTGAATACAATGAAAAGAAAAGTTTGAGCACGAGGATCCAACACACATGTAACAATAACTATGTATATCTATCTTTATAAAAGCGCCACTCACAAGTATAGATACAATCAATGTAAGCAAAATAGCAAGCTGATAATAACAATTTATTAATAATAACATGCATAAAAAATCTAAACAATCGGGACATTTTATTTTTATGCAAATAATTTTTACAAATTTAATAAACCCACTCCGGACGATATCGTATCTCTTGTCTTGTCTTTATTCGTTCTTCATTTACACAGCTCTCTCACATACTGGGTTCCTTTTTCCCATTACTCCCGTTACTCCCATTACTCGAACTTGGCGTTCACTCGCTTTCCTCGCTCCCTCACACCGCTGGCTAACAGCGTTCGGGAGATAGCCTCCGGCCTGCCACGTGGCCGCTGGCGTGCCGAAGGCGCAGACGTGGTCTCTCCTCGAACCTCGCCACACTGACCACGAGCTGTCTCTCTCCACTTTTATATCACCTGGTTCACGTGATGCCACGCAGCCAATCATGAGCCTCACCCCTGGAACCTTCTAGATGTTGCTATACAGCCCCAGGGCTATGCCCCTGGCTCGACGTCCCATTGGCTGCGGGCTGAGGTCAGCAGAGCCTATCACCATCGCCCAGTTACCCCCGGATGCATCCTCATATTACACAAGCGCCCGTGATTTTGACCAAGGCAGTCACCTGTCTAACACATTTGGACTGCGCCCTCGCCTTCAGCTCCACCCTCCCCTCTCTCTCCCCCTGTCTCTGCCCCCTTCCTCCCGCCATTGTCTAACGCACTCGCTTTACTTGCTCTACTTCTGGTGCTTTGCTCCTACATTGGCGCTGGCTGCCCCGCCCATGCTGTTTACGCCGCACAGCTTTGCTCACTCTGAAAGCCCTTAGAAGCAGTTGCATTTAGAGGCTTGCCCCCTCTTTTCTCTCCGCCTGATGAAGACTGCTTGTGTTGCGATCGAAACGTCGTGCTTTTTTACTTTAATTTTTTATTTTATTTTTTATTTTATTTTAATTTTTTCTATCTACGTGACTTTCCCAAAAGAACCAAGAATATGAATTCCTGCAGTCACGAAAGTTTTAAGTCAAAATGTAATGTTGAATTTAGAAAGGCTACAGAGATGATGAAATCTGATACAAATATAGTTGAACCATCGCCATATATACTACTAAGAAATATTACAATGCAAGCAAGATGCCTTGTATACAGGTGTCAGTTTTTGTACCAGTTGAAAGGGTAAAAACCTATCACTATATTTTGCCACTGGTAAAGAAGGTCTCACAGTGTAAATGCTTACCCCGAGCTCTCAATACTCTGATAGTGCGCTGTTTTTGAATTGTACGCCTTTTGGCGTCATCTGGTCCAACACCAATGGAGACGAGGCTCTAAGAAAAGCTGTCTCGGGTGTGGACCAATCAACTTCAAGGACAGTGCATATCATTATCAGAGTTGTTTCTTTTTGTTTGCATTTTGACTGCTTGTGTTGTGGTTATTGCAAGCATCATGCCTTGTATAAAGGTGTCAGTTTTTGTACCAGTTGAAAGGGTAAAAACCTATCACTTCAAAAGCAAAGTCATATTATTCATTTGTGTTTTTTTGCATTCTGGAAGAGTAAAGTCCTTCTAATAAATTGAGTTGAATTCGATTTTTATTTTTCAATCGACTAAGCCTGGATGAGAATACGAGTAACATAAAGTAACATTCTTATTGTATCTTAAAGGATTTTTTTTATTTAAAATTGTATTTGTACAGTGTAAATGTTTCTAATAAAAATAAAATGTGACCCATAATATTGTTCATTGCATGAACTAGATACTTACCCCCATGGTAAGCATGATTTTCTCTCGTGTAAAATTGGATAATCTATACTAATAGCAAATTACGTGTCAATTTTATACAATTGTGACTTTTCCACGTACCCATTATCCAGATCTTCATAAACTGAGTCGTCAGAATTCATGTATTCATTGTCGGCCTTATGACTTGCATCACCAACATCCTTTTTCATGCCACTTGGTATAGCCGGGAGTTCATCCCATTTTCTTGTGCTATAAAAATAAAATGGCATTACAATATATTGCTGAACATTTCTTTTTATTCCAACATGCAGGCAATGTGCAAAACGTACTTTTTTTATCGGAAAGGTAGCTAAAACTCATGTTGCCCGCCTCAAAACGCAACCGCACGAACCACTTCGCTTGTCACTCCATGCCTGTTGAGTTTTAATGTTTGTACTTTTTCCCCTTAGGAATATAATTACTTAATTATTAACTTCAGAAATAAATACTTTAATCGTGTTCTTATTTGTCGAGACGTGTCTACAAATAGACAGTTTACATCAATGGAAGCTCCTGGCCTCCAACTGTGATTTACGGAATTTAATTGTTTTAGCCCATTGCAGTGTTTCCAAAATTGCTATTTTAAAAAAATGCCATTTCATGAGGAAGCCACTGGAGCCATGCACTTTTTAAAAACTAAATTGTAAACTAATTTCTTTATAACTGCGTTTTTTGTTTAGTTTGTGCCCCCCCCCCCCCCACACCTCTGATGAGCACCGTTGAATACGTACGATGTGAAAGAGGTTCAACATGTGTACATACATACAAAAGTGGGAGATTCTCAGTGGTGAGCACATACGATTCGTCGAAGAGACAACCAGTGCATGCAGGTACTAAGACACCAACACGTGAATAATGCCACCGCTAATTTTAGAAATAATTTAAAAAGCAAACAAAATCTAACTTCACCGCCACTTTTTCATTACTGCAGGTCACTGCGAGCTGCCTAAGTGACATTAAACCATGCTGAGCATTATTGATATATTCAGTGTACTGTGTATGCCAACGACTCAAATAGAATTAGTGTTTTCCTGTAAGACACTGGTTGTTATTATAACACTGGTCACACTTTTTCTGGCATAAGGTATTCCAACGGTTTTAAGGTAGTTTTGGGGTGCTGATTCTAAATCTGGCATCAGTTTCTGTCAATCACATCAGGTTTTTGAGATATCATATATTTGCATTTTCAATAAAAACTGGAGAAGAAAAATATTAAATAAATGTGGATATCTACATAAAATTATATTATAAACACACTATCCTAAAAATACAGCACCATATTTTAACACTAAAGCAGTCACTGACTCGCAACAACTTGCAATCATAAGTGACAGAGTTAATTTCTCGGAAAATCAATGAAAATGGGGTATGCCGATAGCATAAAAATTAGATGTGATAGAGCAAATCTGAGATCAAATTTGGAATCAGCACCCTGAAATTAGTCTAAAACAGCTGCAAAAGTCCAGGCCAGAATGACCGGTGTAATATATGCTGATAATCACAAATGCTATACAAGACACAGAAGCAAACTTTCATTAACTGTTGAAAAAAATGTTTCAATCTATTTTATAAATTAACTTAAAATATAATTTAATAAATGGAAGCGTATACACTTTTATTTTACAAGGTAAGGCCCAGTGAGCAATGTAGCTATTTTTCAGAAGTGACCTGGCAACGAATGATAACTCAACAAAGTAACGTATCAGGGGGGAATGGAAAGCAGCCAAATGTTCCAGTGTAAACGCATTTTTCCAAATTTGGAGGGAAAAACCAGAGGGCCTGGAGAAAAATCCATGCCACCATGGGCAGAACACATCAACTCCAAATATACAGGCGTCAGGGCCTGGATCGAAGCCACGACCTGCTGCAAGGTAGTTAACATCTCGCCACCGTGGTGCCGTAAAAACATGAATATGTTTTATGACCATGTTTACGTAAATAAATATGAATATGTTAAAAAAATGTCTTTAAAAATGTCCACAGGTCCCGATATCTTGTGGAAGAGAGTTCCATAGTCTGAGGGCTACAGGGGAAAACGCGTAGTCACTAGTCAACCAAATACTCGTCCTTGGAATGCAGATAATATTTACATCTCCAGATCTCTGAGACATAAGGGGGCTGGTGAAGGGGAGCGAGATGAGTGGATGGAACAAGCGGATAAGAGGAATGAATACTTATCTAGTTTGCTGTGTGGAATCAGGTCTCTTGAAACAGTTCCTGTAGAAATAGGGAAATGTTGGGAACATTTAACCAATAAGGAGACTACTAGGTGGACAGACACACAGATGAATGGACAGACAGAAGCAGTGATAGTTCTACGAACGAACCGAGTTCCAAGCGTTAAATCTGAGCAGATGCCTGTATTTATAACTGGGCTCGACCCAGTTGGCAATGACTGCACAAAAACCTGACAACATAAATTTACTTCTGTACTGGTTATAAATTCTAGCTCTGACAATTACAAACTCAGTCATAAACTGTCCTAAACACAAATATATACTCGATTATATTTCAGGCAATGGCGTTTCTTTAAAGCACTTAGGTGAAGAAGGTCCATTATCCAAAACGTCATCTATTGTATTCCCTTTTAGAGCAGTGGCAATAACAAATGCATTTAGTTTTTGCTATCTTGTGAGCTACTGCCAATGCAGTATCACAAACAAACTATTAAAATAATAGGTTTGAATGTCATGTGGTGAATATTGCTAATTCCGCAGCTGAGTGAGTAGGAATCTGCTGCCCCCTACTGTGCGACTCTGTATAGAGTAGGGGGCAGCCGCGCTAATCGGAGGTGCAGGGGAAGGACAATAAACTAAACGCAAACATAAGTTTAAGAAAATAGTTTGTCAACCGCGATCATTTTAAAGTGCAAAGCTCCAGTGGCTTCCTAATATCGGATGGAAGAGCGTTCTAGACGGGTGCAGAAGTGCATCCAAAAGTGCACGATGCAGTGACCGTGTTTTTTCATAGACCAGCCAAAAGCCGCTGCTGTTACAAGGATGACCGGAGTGTGTCTGACTCAGATATAACTTTAAGAAATATTGGACGTAGTTGTGTGATATATATATTTCCCGCAGACCGTTGTCTAACACGGGATGATGCACCACTCTACGAGAGATCCGAACAGATAATTTGTCTCATGACGAAACATCGAAAGCACTATTGAAATAACACTGCAGGGAAAAACACATCATCACCAAAACGTAATGAATCACTTCATTTAGGAAAGCAGAGTTGGATATTTACAATGAAGCTGCGTGGATTAAGATACGCTCATCAGGGTCTCGAAGGATTGGCAAATAACCCCACAATCCGTGCAGTGTGGACAGGTCTTCATCCAGCAGTGAATTGACCAATGGTTGTTCATGTACACCTGTGACCAAAGTTGATATCGCAGCGAATGTCAGGTTGGCAGCTGTGCTGTGTGTGTGCGCTCAGAACGTACAGCCGCTCCCGGCGTACGTAGAGTAAGACCCCTCCAACAATGATCACCAATGCTCCCAGCACACCTCCCACCACACCTCCCACCACAGGGCCAACGATGCTTCCCGAGCCTGATAGGGAAGAGAAAGGGGAGACGAGCGGCATTAGTGATGTGTCGAGACCGAAAACACTCGAGATATAAAAAAAAAATTGGGGTTAGATTGCATAAATATGAATGTCGTTTAACCCGAAACAGCCAATTAGTAAGCATTGTCACGTCAACAAAACGTGCCAATCAATTACTAGTTCAGCAGTAAGCAGTTGTGTATGGAGAAAAAACCCACAACATTTACAATTCGAGTACAAAGTTTCGCGACGGCCAGATTCGTCGAACCTAACTAATTGGCTGTGTCGGGTGGTGGCGGGTTTAACGACATTCATATTTACGCAATCTAACTCGAAAAACACCCTTATGAACAATATTGGTCGCGAAAGTACTACTATTATTCCTGACCCCCCAGCGTGTGGTGCCACCACCTCGGGTAACCCACTCATCGTCATAAACCCGAACCCTGCTCCTGACTCACCCACCTACTCTACCTGGTCCTGACTCACCCACCTACTTACCTGGTCCTGACTCACCCACCTACTTACCTGGTCCTGACTCACCCACCTACTCTACCTGGTCCTGACTCACCCACCTACTTACCTGGTCCTGACTCACCCACCTACTTACCTGGTCCTGACTCACCCACCTACTCTACCTGGTCCTGACTCACCCACCTACTTACCTGGTCCTGACTCACTCACCTACTTACCTTTTCCTGACTCACCCACCTACCTGCCCTGACTCACCTACCTACCTACCTGGTCCTGACTCACCCACCTACTCTACCTGGTCCTGACTCACCCACCTACTTACCTGGTCCTGACTCACCCACCTACTTACCTGGTCCTGACTCACCCACCTACTCTACCTGGTCCTGACTCACCCACCTACTTACCTGGTCCTGACTCACCCACCTACTCTACCTGGCCCTGACTCACCCACCTACTCTACCTGGTCCTGACTCACCCACCTACTCTACCAAGTCCTGACTCACCCACCTACTTACCTGGTCCTGACTCACTCACCTACTTACCTTTTCCTGACTCACCCACCTACTTACCTGGCCCTGACTCACCTACCTACCTACCTGGTCCTGACTCACCCAACTACTCTACCTGGTCCTGACTCACCCACCTACCCTCTTCTCTCCCCCACCAGCCCCTTCACTGGAACGAATTTACCCCTCAACATTAAGCAGTCATCTTTGCTCATTCACTTCCGCTTAATTCTCTACATTTGTCAGCACCCACTTGTATATGGCCTCACGTAACCATTTTCGTGGCCCACGCAGTAAGTGACGCTCTGCTCTCTCAGACACTGGCCCTGCTGCTTACCCCTCATTGTCCATCATCCCTGCCCACTGCTCAGTTTTCTCAATCTTTTTAAAATGCTTCGGAACACTGGCAACAGCCTTTCTGGAACCGGGACCGTGTCGGCCCAAGAAATAAATAACAGAGTTTCGATGAAATCATTTCATATAACAATGCACATTGTAAATGGTCAATATTTTACACGCACTTTTGTTGTGCGTACTGATGAGTGCAGTGCTCAATGAACCTGGTTGCCCGAGTTGAATTCCCGATTACAGTTCATGTCAGGGGTCACTGATGTCTGAACCGGTCCTGTCCTCTACCCCCGTTCACCAACGCGCATTGATCAGTGTGGTGAAACGTGGCCAAGCAACTCCCACGTGTTGTGAGACATGGCCACGCAACTCCAATGTGTGGTGAAACATGGTCAAGACAGCGTTGGCAGGCCTTCAGCCATGAGCATATTAAGCTTGATCCAATGGCATTTGGTTTGCTGGAGACTGTACAATTGTGACTGGTTTGTAGTGAAGATGCAAGATGGTCTAAACTAAGTCCGAGTTTTCATAGCATCATTGACTTCACGTCTAGATTTCATACTCTTACCACAAATTACCAGTGATATCTTACTGATCTCATCATGAAGCATAAATCATCACGCAAACTCAGGTCATTCTCACAGCAGCAGCTGCCTTTGGGTAGTCATCGAACAATGATGACCAACGCATCATTGCGGCATTTTCAGATGCCCTTGCGGCCGTCCTGAACGCTTCTACTTCTGATATTAGAAAGTCACTGGACCTATGCACTTGAAAATCGTCTAATTTGAAAACTAATTTCTTTGGAAAAAAAGTTTCTGTTTAGTTTGTTGTCCTTTCTCCGCACCTCCAATTACCACAGTTTGCTATGTAGGGTGGAAAATAAGTTCAACATAATACTGAGCTGATTGGATATGCTCTTATGCTGAATGGCAGTAATTGGGAATACTTACTTCCGATGACACTCAATAATGTCATGAGTGGTAGAGAGAAGCGTGTGTCCGTGAAGATGGCTACCCCTCCAGCGCGGACAGAGCGTACGTTTGGGAGGTACGTGTAGACACGGAAACTGATTCTGAATGGTGACAATGGGAAAGGTGGAAGAACAACACAAGAATAGGGGCAGGAGTTTAGACAACTTATGGGTGGGGAAATATGCATCCATGGGTGGTGTATACAAGAGGTGCTTGAGAGGTCATACCTCCCCCATATGCCTTTTATAAGGCTTGTCATTGCAATTGCATAACATGGCACTTGTGCCAGGCTAGGTGCATTTTTAGCAGCAGAACAGCGTGGCAGATTCTCTCATCGGCAGCTGTCAGATTGAGGAAAACTGCACCGGTTTAACCACTCCAATTTACATATGTGTTCTATATAGGTCTGGTCAAGGCTCCTGCTCTTGCGACCACGTGATGTCACCATCCTTATGGGAACATCGCATAAACATTTCAGCGGGGTTTTAATTCGTTGAAATAAGCTCACAGAAAAACTCACGCAGGCGAGGGACATACCTGTAGGCAGTGTTTTGCTTTAAGGGGCCATTGGAGAAGCTGCTGCTCGTTCTGCCGGTACCAATTTGGACACTGACGACGGAGTTGGGGTTGGAGCACTCGGAGGGGTAAACACGATCGTCCACCTGGTACACGTTCGTGCTTCCACTCGCATATTCTGAGTACGTGCTCAGAGGCCACCTCTTCTCTGGACTCTCGCTGCTGGTACCTGTGTAATGGGACAGAGGGAATCAGTGGATTCCTTTTTTACATTATTAAAAGGTTGTACGCAAAGTTTCCAAAATGAATCCTCAATGGTATACTTAATTGCACGTGAAATTTTGCACTTTAGATTAAAAATGTGTATATACTACGTTTTCATAACTAACAATTTCAACTCGAAGATGGAGAATGACTCATAGAGGTGCAAGGAGGAACCACAGACAATATGGAAATGCAGCAGCATCCAGGAAGTCATCTGGTATCAATTTCAGACCCAGACACCACCCCATGTTAGCTCTACAGTCCTCTGATTATTAAGGTTTAATCTGTCAATAAATGAGTGTTTACATCCAGGAGGAAACCAGAGTAGCCAGAGAAAACCTACGTAGGACAAGAACATTCCATACAGATGCCTTCTCCTGGCCAGCGAGGGTATGGTACCACGAGGTTAATGGGTAGGGCGTTTCACCACACGGAGTGATTCACCAACCCTTGCCTCCACTGTTGTGGATTACAGGCATGCATAGCTACCAAGGCCTGGATAAAAAAAAATCGTGGAAGATACAGGTATTGATGCCGCTACTTCTCGTATATTTAGCAAGCACTCTAATGTATTATTTCATTCCCCCTGGTAAAAAAGTTAACTATCATTTGAGTCGTGCATGAATGACGTGACTGAGCCGTATTCATGGAATGTCCATTGCGTTACCCTTGGACTGCTTGACGATGACCGTGTAGTACTTGAGGTCGCCGTTTGTGTTCTGGAACCAGCTGCAGCTGAAGGAGATGGTTAGGCTGCTCGGTGTCACCTGGTTCTGCACCGTCGTGATGTACACCGTCTCCGAAACGGGTGGAGGAGCTACCCACATGAGCACGGCAGGTTTGGAAATGAGTACAAGTACACAGACTGTCGTAATTTAGAGCCATTAGTTAATCATCTACTGGATGAAGGCATGGACATTGCTTGACCATACTTTCCATGCTGGAGGAGCTAGCAACAGTTCAGTTACTAATATTTACCATAGCCAGAAAATGCATGTTGGGAGGGTCGCACTATTCGTAGCACAACACCCTAAATACGGTGCCCACTTCTCCAACCTAACAAGTGAGGCTTTAACAAAAATCCCTTGTAACCGTTTTTGAACAGCCAGTCGTCAGAGCAAGTGCTCTCAATGAGCAGCCATTTAAAGGGTCGCACTGCTCACAATGGAGTTGGTAAGGCCACTCCCCGAACCAGCCACTTTTTTCCCTCCCCAGTGCTATACGTATGTAAGTGCACCGTACGTAGCCAATCATGCTAAATCGGAGGTGCAGAAGAAACACTTCAGCAGGTCGTAATTTAAGGTACAGGCGAGTAAAGCAAGGCCCAGAACTGAACTTAAGTTGTTGGGTGTACGATGACAACTTTGAACTGTTTAGAAAAATACCGCGTACAAAATGGTTGTTACTGGCAGGTCAGAAAGTTATGAAACGGTTAAGAAATTAAAATGACTGTTACAGGTTAGTTTGGGTGGATGGGTGCCTGGACCTGGACCCCCTGCTACCAGACCATTCCACCCGATTGTGTCCAAAATGCATTACAAACATTTATGATGGAGAGACAGATGGATTTGCTCATACATTTGGTACAAAATACAACAATCACAACCACTCATGTTCCAAAAAAAAAGTATGAACTCACCGCTTACGGTCTTTGCTTTTCCTTGTAGAGTTTTACTGAACAATTTTCCTGAATAGGTGGTGATATTGACCAAGTATTCAGTGTTCCGCTCCAGACGTCCAAGCATGGCAAATGTTAAATTTGTTCTTCCATTTCCCCGAGGCTCCGTAATTATTTCATTCAAAGAATACATGGTATAGACTTCGAGGCTATTGTTGAAGATGCCTACGGACTGCAATAGATCATTGCCGTTGATCACTTCCAGGTACAGCATGCTCCATACACCGTCGGGGAGAGACCAACTGCAGGAAATATTCTCCGTGGAATACGGAAAGCAAGAAAAGTCTCTGACAGATGCTGGATCTGGGGGTAAAAGGTTGGTGAATGGGGTAGTTTGGGGGGGGGGGGGTAGGAGATGAAAGATTGCTGAAGATGAAACTTACTGCTGATATTACCAATGAACATTAATCAAACCCATTTGATTCATAACACAGTCGCAAAAACAATTGAGACATTGCAGGGGCTCAGTTATGAGCATGTGTGTGCATGTGAAACACAGTTGGCGCCTAAATTTGTCGACTACATTGGCAATGCGGCCGTGCCAACATTGGCCCCGATTCCCCTCAGTGCTCGTGTTTACTAGTCCACCTCTTCTCCAGGTCTTCTGGTTTCCCCCTCCATTTATAATCATATGTTTAGAGTATTTTGCTGCTATAAATGTCCACATGATGATAAGCCACTTCGTTTATCCATTATGATTGCCAGGTCGCTTTTGAAAAAAGGGCTACACAGCTCAGTGGGCCTTAAATGGTACAATTAAACTAGTTTATCGTTGTGCGTGTCGAGGTTACATCTCTGTATGATGATAGATAACCGGGCCTTTTCTCGTGTGGCCCCCTGGCTGTAGAGTTCACATCCCCTGGACGTTCACTATGCTGACTCCCTAGCTTTATTTAAATCGTGCCTTCATACGCACTTATTTTAAACAAAATTTTCTATTCCTTAAATCTTTTAGTTTGAGGTTAGATTTTATTGGGTTGAGCCTGCACGTGTGTTTGTTTTGTACAGCGCCTTCTGACCTCCAGGAGCAAGGTGCGTTCGCAGTGTAAATTAATATTATTAAATAATTATTTCCAGGATCAAGGATTACGTTTGCCTACTTTAAATCAGCCCAAATCACATCCTTACGTGTTTGTGACTTACTTGTACCAAAAGAGAATACTGGCCTGTCAAAATGACCAGTGTGAATCGTGTATGTCTATTTTAAATCCAGGGGAAATGGCTGCATTACATGGTGGTGAAAGTTTTCAATATCAAATAATGTAATACAGTATATTACACACAATGTACTTGTGATATATAATAGCATACAAACTATTGTCTAAATTAATATAGTCCGATCAACAGACTGTATAGGTACTTACAAGTTCTGTCCATTATATATGCCCAATATGAGACAGACCCATCGGAAGCCTGCACAGACACGGAGTAGTTCATTCCAGGAACCAGGCCAGTAAATGTTGACGAGTTTGAGTAAATCGGGAATGTTGTAACCAAGTTTCCACTGTCAGTCTCTCTCAAGTAGGCCCAGTAGGAGAACGAGTCTGGGAGATAAGTCGTTCCTGAGACTGTCATGGTCGTGGTAGTCTTGTTGGTGATGGTTAAAACGATGTAACTTGACACTGAAATGGCCACATGCAAGCAATACATTTTTATGGCATGTTTTAGTTATTTTACAATGATTAAAGTGAAAAATGAGAAAGACCAATTGCAAAAATAACACAGCATTTTGTAAGCAGGGACGACACTAACCTTTGAGAATATAATCATCTTGTTAATAAATGTATTAATAGATAACATTTGCTGTCATCTTTCCAGATCACATTTTACCAATGGCGAAATTTCTCAGTTAAAATGTAAACATTTTGTTAGAAATCACTTTGTTTTCAAAAATGTTCTTACAATTGATATGTTCTGTTCCAAATAAATTTCATGAACAATTAATATATTTTCCATCAGGGTCTAATCTGTTTGTTTCTTCAAGTTAGTTTTTATCACCTTTTTAACGTAACATTTATGTCGTCATAATTCAATGACTGAGCCATTTTTTCCATACACATATATGTCCTACATTGTTAGTAAATAGGTAGGTTAAAAAGAGGGCATTATTAGACACAATTCATGCCCAAAATGAAACTTCATGCATGATCGAAATTATAATGTCCTTGAACATGATGGGTCTATAATATAATTAACAATGAATATATATATTCTTGGTTATTTCGGTAAAGTCACATAGATAGAATAAAAAAAATGTAATCTACGTTACTTTACCGAAAGAACCAAGAATATGAATTCCTGCAGTCACGAAAGTTTAAAGTCTAAATGTAATGAATATATAACCAGGCAAAAACTCACAGGTCGTTCTGGTAATGATAGCGGATGGTTGGTAGTAGATGCCACTATAAGCCGTTACAGAAGCATCATAACTTCTACCAGGAACCAGATCAGTAAATTCTTTTGTTTTAAGTGTGGACACATTGAAGAGCTTCACTGCTGTTGGGTTGTAAGTTTCATTTAAATAGACCACGTAGTAGTCAACGTCTGAAGTTGGAGCCACCCATGAGACCATCATGGCTGTAGGGCTGGTGACGGTGATGGTGACATTGACTTGTGGAGGAACTGCAATGTAAAATAAACGATTGACACAGACGAATTGCAATAGATACTTGCGGCATTGACTTAAGCCACTAAAGTGGCATATAACACGATGAATATTTATTTTAATATGCACATTTTCTTGTCAAATTATTGATTTGAAAAGTATGTAACTTAAAATGGAAATGTTAAAGCAGAAATTTAGGCAAACAATTGCCATGCAGGCATCCCTCGCATTGCACATTCCCTCCCCCCACTCCCAAAGCGCGAATTTGGAGCTACGTAATTAACTTGTTAGGGACATACTTCACACTTACGCTATTGGGTTTCAGTTACGCGCTGAATAAAAAAAGAACTTGTAAAAACATCTTCAACACGCACGTGGGCAACGCTGCGTCCTGCACCGATCAGCCCACAACCCTCCAGGCTTAGAAGCAGCAACAGACCTCGAAAGCGTTCAGGAAGCCCTGAAATTACTCGTCATTAAGTAACCTGTTTTGTAATTAGTAGAATTTTTATCTTAATTATTACCATATTTGTTATAAAAATCATTTCGTATTTTTGTCATGTTAATCACATTATTAGATTCATATGTATTTTGTCACTCCAGGGCTGAAATAGTGGAATTTAATTACTGTATATTGCATTTTTGGCCAGTAACGTATACCCCCTATAACATGCAATTCGATGCGAAAATAAGCTTCATACAGTGCGATTTCACTTACACGCAGGTTTTCATGAACGCATGTCGTGTGTCAGAGGGACTCCTATACTATGAAATGAAAGGCTGGCATGGTTTCTAGTTTAAAAGTCAGTCAATGGTGGGAGCATTTGCCAAGACTTCATCGACGTGGCAAGTGTGATTTATGGAGGGGGGAGGGGATGGTTGGTGGGGGTCGCAGGATTGATTAAGACGTAACTCACTACTTGATGTTAGCTATGGCCATTAATCAAACCAATGTTATTATAACAGAGCACGGAAATTTGAGCCACTGCATGGGCCAAATTATTATCATGTGCGCACATGTGCGAGATTGTTGGCCAACTTTGTCCCCGATTCACCCTCGGTGATCCCCCAGATCATGATTCGCTGCGATGTTTTTTGGTGCAATGGGACATCACCAATATTACCCAGCAAAATGGGATGCAAATTGGCACATGGATTGAGTGCAGTCGCTTATCGGAAATTTACAGATAGCGGAATTCCACAAAAACAGTAAACACTCTTCATGAATCTGGTGCTTTTTAATTTGCAGTTAAAGTGCATACTGTTTATACCCAAAAACTCACAGCTTGAACTATGATCGATGTAAATATTACGTAATGTAGAATATTGTTTACATGGGCGCAGATTGCTAAATATTATGGTATTCGAATGTATACAGTTAATATCTATGATCAGGTTCCAAGTTCCTGCTTCTAACACGGAGGATGTGTAGAAGTCTACGTCAGAATAAAGGGCCACCAATGAGACTGTCATGGATGTCCGTGTCTTGTCAGTAAAGTTGACTTTCAGTGGAATTGTGAAACGGCAATCGGAGTGGATAAAATATTTACATGAGATTGGCTGATTTGACAAAATTCCTCGATTTAATTCTGAACAATTTCTGTGAAATTCCATTGTTTTCAAAAATGTTTTTACAATTGATGTTACAGATGACCTTCAGGAACGGTTAAAATATATTAAATAAGAGGCTAATAGACTTGTGATTTTTCAACTCGTTTATAACCGTTTTGATTCAACATTGACAGAGACATCATTCCATGATTCAGGTATTCATTTACGTACAAATATTTAGTAAATATATCCTAAGTAATTAAATTAAAAAAAAATTGGGACTATTCGTGGTCATTAACAAAACTTACATAGTTTAAATTCCAATATCATTTAGCATGGCTATGCATGTGTTCTACAATACACATTTATGTTGAAATTAATTCGCTCCATACGTTGCCAACAGTGATATCAGTTGACGACAATGCATGTACAATCAGGCAAATACTCACAGCTCTTCTTGGTTATTTCGGTAAAGTCACGTAGAAGGGAAATAATAAAAATAAAACATAATAAAATAATTCTCACGACGTTTTATTTTTATTATTTTATTATTTGCCTTCTACGTGACTTTACCGAAAGATCCAAGAAGATGAATCTCTGCAGTCACGAAAGCTTTAAATCGAAAAATACTCACAGCTCCTTTGAGTAACGATGGCTGACGGTTGGGAGTTGACGCCACTGTACGCTGTTACAGATATCTGGTAACTTCTACCAGGAACAACCCCAATAAAGAGCTGCGTTGTAACATTGGAGGAAAAATTGTAGGGATATGCTACTTGTGCGTTGTAAGTTTCATTTAAGTAGACTATGTAGTAGTCAACATCTGAAATAGGAGCCACCCATGAGACTGTCATGGCTGTAGGGCTGTTGACGACGATGGTGACATTGACTTGTGGAGGAACTGCAATGTCAAATAAACATGACACAGACGAATTTCAAGGGATACTTACGTGATTAACTTAAGTTACAAAAGTAGCATACAACACGTTAGATACAACGATCACCATGTATTATATATATATGTCCTTTTCTTTGTCCAACTATGTATTGATTAGGCAAGTTTGTAATTTGAATAAGGATATTTGAAAGTGACAATTTGGGCAAACAAAATTGTCATACAATGAAATTAAAGTCTGGCATAGACTATAGTTGAAAATAGAATACGACGTTTCGATTGCAAGACAAGCAACCATCATCAGGTAGAACTCAATGTGAGAGAGACAAAACACAGACACGGAGTCACACAAACACACAAGCAGAGACAGACAACACCGACACACAGACGGTTGCTTGTGTTGCAATCGAAACGTCGTATTCTATTATTTAATTTATCTTCTTTCTACATGACTTCACACTTACCTTCAAATTTAGCAATATTTGGAGATCGTAATCAACCAGGCTATGCGTTAACTGTGTTAGCCAACTCTCTGTGTTGCATTGCATTACATTTCCAAAAAATGTCTAAGTTTGTTTTCTCAAACTATTTCTCTCTCTAAAATTGACCAGGCTCTCATAGGACCATTCGATCTTCTTTACCTCGGTCGCGTCGGGTGGATTCATTAACATGCTAATTTCTCTGCTCCAGCAGCTGCCCCAGCAGACCCACCTCTCTCTCTGCCCCCCCCCCCTCTCTATTTAAGGCCTCGACACAGAGGCATTGGGTCTCTGTGTGTCTATGTTGCGTGTCTCTCTCTCTGTGTGTTGGTGTTGTCTTTCTCTCTGCTTGTGTGTCTGTGTGACTCCGTGTCTGTGTTTTGTCTCTCTCTCAAATTTAGTTTTACCTGATGACGGTTGCTTGTCTTGCAATCGAAACGTCGTTTTCTATTATTTATTTTATTTTCTTTCTACGTGACTTTACCAAAAGAACCAAAGAGTAATTCCTGCAGTCACGAAAGCTTCAAATCAAGTTTATAGTTGAAAAGTCGAGAACATTTGCCAAAACTTCCTCAACGTTGAAAGTGTGATTTAGGGAGGGGGGGGGGGTGGAGGCTAGTAGAGTTGGTAGGATATGTTCAGATGTAACTTACGACATGTTAGCAATGGCCATTCATTAAAGCAAATGTATTTATAACAAAGGGCACGACATATTTTACCACTGCATGGGCCAAGTTATAATCATGTGGGCATGTGTGAGATTGTTTGCAACATTGGCCCCGATTGCCCCGTTTTTTTCATGCAATGGGACTTCACAAATTTCACCCAGCAAAATTTGATGCAAATTGCAACATGCTTAGTGTTGTAGATTTTGAGGCAGACGACTTGTCTTTTCTTTCCGGGCCACTTTATTCACAATGTCAACGCTACAGCACTTGGTGCAGCATGCCGAGATTCTGCCATGTGCCGATCGTTCGCTCTCTCACTCACCGCCTCCTGGTCTCACACTCTGCAATCCTTGCTTCGTCCCTTCCGCTGCCGTGTCTCGCTGTCTCAGCGGGTCGTTATCATGGCAGACGCGGCGTTTAAGCGTGCCGACGTATGGACTGAGCTCACGCCCTTAGCCTATACGAGTACACAAAGGGCTACTCCCACACAGGGATATTCTAGCTAGCCTAAGCAGCTCCGGCTTCAACTTGTTATGTCTTCTGTCTAAAGCCCCTCTACCTCCGAGCTCGTTCGCTCGTCTTACATAGGCCTAACGACCCTTCCAGAACATCCTGTCTGGAAGATTCTTCTATGTGATTGAGAGGTACCAGTCCCTTCAGTTCCGGTCCATGTCCTACTTTAGCCACATCAACGGTTTTCCTGCACCTGTCCACTTTCAACGTGCCACCAGCAGCGTCGCGCTGCCATTCCCGTGGCGACGCTCGTCAACTACCTTCCCCTGGCAGTCGAGCGCGGACATGCAGCCATTATAAACACGCGTGCGTTGTGCCACTACACATGGTTTGAGCGCAGTCGCTTATCGGAAATTTACAGATATTAGCGGAATTCCACAAAAACAGTAAACACTATTCATGAATCTGGTGCTTTTTAATTTGCAGTTATAGTGCATACTGTTTATACCCAAAAACCCACAGTTTGAACTATGTTCGATGTAACTATTATGTAATGTAGAATATTGTTTACCATGGGCTCAGACTGCTAAATATAATTGTATTCGAAAGTATGCAGTTAATATCTATGACCAGGTTCCAAGTTGCTATTTCTAACAAGGAGGCTGTGTAGAAGTCGACATGAGAACCAAGGGCCACCCATGAGACTGTCATGGATGTCCGTGTCTTGTCAGTAAAGTTGACTTTCAGTGGAATTGTGAAATGAGATTGGCTGATTTGACAAATTTCCTCGGTTTAATTATGAAGAATTCCTGTGAAATTACATTGTTTTAAAAAATAATCTTAAAATGTATCTGTTACAGATGACCTTCAGGAACGGTTAATTTATATTAAATAAGAGGCTAGTAGGGTTGTGATTTTGATTTAAAGCTTTCATGACTGCAGGGATTCATATTCTTGGTTATTTCGGTAAAGTCACGTAGAAAGGAAACAATAAAATAATACAAATATAAAACAATACAATTATCACGACTTTTCGACTGCAACACAAGCAATCATCATCAGGTGTGAAAAACAGCAAGAAAATTTGGAAGGATTTGATAAACCATTTCGGGTCTTAATTGATTGTGTTCACGCTTACGGTGACTTTCAGACCGCATTCAATTCTCTTCCTCTCCCCCCTCCTCTTTTCCGAACATAGATGGACTCACTATGAGATCTCTTTTACCAGTGGCAAAATATAATAGTAGGTTTTTACCCTTTTAACTGGTACAAAACTGACACCTTTATTCAAGGCATCATGTTTGCAATGACCACAACACAAGTAGTCAAAAAAGCAAACAAAAAGAAGCAACATCCTTATCAGAGTTGCTTCTTTTTGTTTGCTTTTTTGACTACTTGTGTTGTGGTCTTTGCAAACATGATGCCTTGAATAAAGGTGTCAGTTTTGTACCAGTTAAAAGGGTAAAAACCTACTATTATAGATGGACTCGTCCATCTGAACAACTGCCAAAATCGCTGTCCGTGGTGGTAACCTTAAGAAAAAACCGCCACTTAAAAAAAAATGTTCTTGCTGTGTTTTTCACACCTGATGATGATTGCTTGTGTTGCAGTCGAAACGTCGTGAGAATTTGATTGTTTTATGTATATTTTATTTTATTGTTTCCCTTCTACGTGACTTTACCGAAAGAACCAAGAATAGGGTTGTGATTCTTTAACTCGTTTTATAACTGTTTTGATTCAACATTGACAGAGGCATCATTCCATGAATGAGGTAGTCATATATGTACAAACATGTAGTACCACTTACTGGCGAATGGCGGTTGTTGTTGTTCAGTCTATGTATGTATGTGAGTCGATATGTGTGTGTAACTCTACGTGTGTGTGTCAGTCGATTTGTTTGTGTAACTACATGTGTGTGTCTGCCTTTTTCGCCCAGGCAACGCCGGGCACTCACCGCTAGTATATAATAAGTTGTGCGTAAATAGGTAATTAAATAATATTTTTTGGGACTATTCATGTGGTCATGAACATAACTTACACAGTTGAAATTCCAATATACATTAACATTGCTATGCATGTGTTCTACAATGCACATTTATGTTGAACTTCTTTCGCTCCCTACGTAGCCAACAGTGATTATCAGTTGGCAAAACAATGGATGTACAAACAGGCAAATACTCACGGCTCCTTTTAGCAACGATGGCTGACGGTCGAGAGTTGATGCCACTGTACGCTGTTACTGATGTCTGGTAACTTCTACCAGGAACTAAACCAATAAAGCGCCGCGTTGTGACATTGGAGGAAACATTGTAGGAATATGCTACTGATGCGTAGTTTGTTTCATTTAAGTAGACTATGTAGTAGTCAACATCTGAAATAGGAGCCACCCATGAGACTGTCATGTCCGTAGAGTTGTTGATGGTGATGGTGACATTGACTTGTGGAGGAACTGCAATGTCAAATAAACATGACACAAATTAATTTCAAAGGATACTTACGTGATTAACCTAAGTTACTAAATTATCATACAACACATTAGATACAACGATCACCATGTGTTTTATATATATGTCTTCTTCTTAGTCCAACTATGTATTGATTAGACAAGTTTGTAATTTTTAAAAAGGATATTTTATTTTAAAGTGACAATTTGGGCAAACAAAATTGTCATACTATGAAATGAAAGGCTGGCATAGACTATAGTTTAAACGTCGGGAGCATTTGCCGAGGATTCCTCAAAGTTGAAAGTGTGATTTAGGGGATGCAAATTGGCACATGGATTTAGCGCAGTCACTTATCGGAAATTTACAGATATCAGCGGAATTCCACAAAACAGTAAACACTCTTCATGAATCTGGTGCTTTATAAGTTGCAGTTATAAGGCATAGTGTTTAGACCCAAAAACCCACAGCTTGAACTATGTTCGATGTAACTATTATGTAAGCTAGAATATTGTTTACCATGGGCTCAGACTGCTAAATATTATGATATTCGAAAGTATACAGTTAATATCTATGACCAGGTTCCAAGTTGCTGTTTCTAATAAAGAGGCTGTGTAGAAATCTACGTCAGAACTAAGGGCTATCCATGAGAATGTCATGGATGTCCGTGTTTTTTTCAGTAAAGTTGACTTTCAGTGGAATTGTGAAACGGCAATCGGAGTGGATAAAATATTTAAATGAGATTGGCTGATTTGACAAATTTCCTGGTTTAATTATGAAGAATTCCTGGGAAATTGCAATGCTTAAAAAAATACTCTTACAATTGATCTGTTACAGATGACCTTCAGGAACGGTATATATATTTAACTAGCCTTTTGCTCTTCCAAGGACAGGTGTATTGCAGTAAATCTGAAAATTGCAAGTGAAAAGCAGACCACAAAGGGATTCATATTAATTGCATTAATTCGTGTGCAATTTTTAAGGGCTCGGTGACACAGCCCTACCTTTATTTTAAGGTTTTAATCCCTTGTTCATCATGACGTCCTTTTTACTTCTATGTCTCAATAGCGTTACGGAGATCGCATGACGTGAGGGTTCTGCTTATGTTGAGGGTTGTAAGTTGACGCCGAGGAGGGGGGAAGAGGCGCCTCAGCCCCCCATGTGGAGTAATTATTATGAATGGGGGGAGGGGGTGTCCATGTGGAGTTACGTCACCTGCTCATGATTATTAATGAGGGGAGATGGCGGACGTGGAGTG